CGACAGCTGAGACCCACCCAGGTCAGGTCCGTGGGTCCCTGGGGGCGTGGGGCGGGGACCCAGGCGGGCGGAAGAGACCCGGGCTGCTCCTTCCCCTGCACCCCGCCAGGTGGGGAAGCTGAGGTCCAGGGGGGCCCGGTGGAAGGAGAGGCTCCGGCCGGCGTCCGCTCCGGGAGAGCACCCTGCTTCCGTCTGGGCAGGCCGCGTGCCTCAGTTTCCTTATCCGTTACCTAGGAGCAGAAGTTCCCACATTCCGGACAGATTCAGCTGGGCCTTTGGCCTTGAGAAGGTTTAGGAGGCATCTTTCGCTTGGGCTAGCTCGGGCCGCCTGTAATCTCAGCGCTCCAGGAGGCTGAGGCAGGAAGGAAGGTCTCGAGTTCAAGACCTGCCTGGACTGTGTAGTGCTGAGACCCCCGTGCTGACCCTTCCCTTGTGGTCCCTCAGCTGCCCAAGGGCTTCCTAGTTGTCAACTTTCCCAAAGAATGGGGAAGCCACCCTGCGTGGTCCACTGGGCAGGCCCCAGGCCATCACAGCCTGCAAGCTTGGAACCTTGTGGGTCCCTAACCTGACCACACCCCGTGTGTCCACAGCAGGTGTCCAGGTGAGGGTCGTAAAAGGAATCCCTCAAATCCAGGACCAAAATCCCAGGGAAAGGAAAGGGGAGACAGGTGCTAACCCGTGCCATTGAGGCCCGGGTGTCTGTCCCTGATGTGGTTAGGACAGCTCGGCATAGAGGACAAACTACAAAGTACAGATTCTTCATTTAAAAATGTGTTTTAGGGCCTGGGATTTAGCTCAATCATGCCACCTGCCTCTCAATCGCAAGAACCCAAGTTTGATCCCGATACTGGGGCGGGGGAAGTGTTTTAGCCAGGTGTGGTGGTACACAGATGGTTATTCCCAACACTCTGGGAGGCTGAGGCAGGAGGATCTCAAGTTAAAATCCAGTCTAGGCAAGTCAAGGATTTAGCCAGACCCTCACTCTCAAAATTTAAAGATAAGAGCCAGGTGTGGTGGCACACACCTGTAATCCCAGCCCTCGGAAGGCTGAGGCAGGAGGATCGTTGTGAGTTCCAGACCAGCCTGGGCTACATAGTGAATTCCAGGTCAGTCTCAACTATATTAGTGAGACCCTGTCTCAAAAAAACAAAAAAAATTTTTTTTAAAGATTAGAAAAGCCGGATGTGGTGGCACATACCTGTAATCCCAGCTTTTAGGACAGCCTGGGCTGTATAACAAGACTCTGCCTCAAAAAACAACAAAACAAAAGAAAGAAGACAGAAGAAAAGGGCTGCGGGTGGGGCTCAGTGAGAAGCCCTCTGTGTGTCTGTGTGTGTCTGTGGGGGAGCGCACAGACTGACTGCAACATCAGCCCCAGCCAGCCACCCCCAAACCCGCTGGGCCATGGTGTCACCAACCTGCCAAGGAAAAGATAAGAAAAGCCAGGTGTGGTGGCACATACCTGTAATCCCAGCTTTTAGGACAGCCTGGGCTGTATAACAAGACTCTGCCTCAAAAAACAACAAAACAAAAGAAAGAAGACAGAAGAAAAGGGCTGTGGGTGGGGCTCAGTGAGAAGCCCTCTGTGTGTCTGTGTGTGTGTCTGTGTGTGTCTGTGGGGGGCGCACAGACTGACTGCAACATCAGCCCCAGCCAGCCACCCCCAAACCCGCTGGGCCATGGTGTCACCAACCTGCCAAGGGCTCTTTTGCTCAGTTCCATGGAAACTGTGAAACTGAGCCAGGGATGGAGAAATCTCTTCCTGCACCTGACTCACTAGGCCAAGTGGCCAAGTACGAGACACAGCAAGTGGACCTCAGCCTGAGGGCTGACCCAAGGAGGGTCAGCCTGGACGATCAACCCGGCCGGTCCTAAGCCGGGAAAATCCAGCTACTGTGGGGGGTGATCACAGCTTCACAGGCCGGAGACCAGGGCCTGTGACATTTGGGGCCCAGCGTGTGGCTCTGTTGGGCTGTTTCACCTGGTCTTGGGGTCTCCCTGGAGGATGCAGGCTCCCCGGAGACGTCTTGGGGTTGCCCCGCCCCGCCCCCTTCCAGAGAGTACTGGGTCCAAGGGGCCGTGGGTGTGCGGTTAGCCAGGGATCTGGGGGGTAACAGGCGGCATGGAGGCCTGAGAGGCCACGTCTCATGAGGCACCTGGTCTCTTTCCTCTCACCTTTTTGAGACAGGGTCTCGCTGTGTAGCCCCAGTCTGGCCTCGGACTCACAAGGGTCCTCCTGCCTCAGCCTGCGCAGCGCACCACGCCTGCCTTCCTACCAGCCCTTTTGTATACTTCGGTTCTCCTTTGGTATTTAAGATGTCTTTTGTTAAGCCTGTAAGTATATCCTGGGAACAGCAGCCCTCACCCAGGTTCACTGCCTAGAGTGCAAAATGATCGAGCAAACACATGAGTGCCGGAAACAGGACACCTGATGATCGGCTCCCTCTGCCTGCTCCGGTCTCCGGGCCTAGCACGGTTGTGAAATGCGGGGCGGCTGCCTGCCCTGGAGCCCGGCACTGGGAAGTGGCTGCCCCTGAGGCCCCTGTGTGGGGGCAAACACTCGCTCACTTCCTAACCACTTCTGGGAGCTACCTCGGTGGTCGTGAAAATGGCCAGGCACCCTGTCGTGGCTGTTTCCTCTCGGTGATAGCACAACACCATGGGCTAAGTTAGAAAAGAGGGCTCTTTTTTTCTTTTTTTACACTGGGGATCCAAATGAGGGGCACAGGAGCCCTGAGCTACACCTCCAGCCCTTTCTTTTTTTATTTATTTTTCTTTTTTGTTTTTTTTTGAGACTGGGTCTCACTAAGTAGTTGAGACTGACCTGGACCTCACCGTGTATCCCAAGCTGGTCTTGAACTCACAGGGATCCTTCTGCCTCAGCCTTGTGAGTGCTGGGATTACAGGTGTGCGCCACCATACCCAGCTTATTTTTTAAATTTTAAAACAAGTTTTCTCTAATTGTCTGGATGGGACCCCAATTTATGATCCTCCTGCCTCAGCCTCCCGCAGTGCTGGGGTGACCATGGACCCTAGCACTCCTGTGAGGGCCTTTTTGCCTGCAGAGTTGGAAAGTTGCTTGTTTGGCTTTTGTATCAAAAAGAGCCACAGTGTCGCTGAATTGTGTATCCATGTGGCCTCCTTTCCTGAAGGAGGGAGGGAAGTGGGCGGCTGGGCTTCTGGAGTGACTCCAGCCTGCTGGCTCTGCCCTTGCACACTTTGTAATTGCGCACTTACTTCCTTGGCCCCGGACGTGCATTCCTCAGCACTTCCCGGAGCCGAGAAGATCCCGGGATCTCGTCGTGTGTGACGTGTGTGTGCAGGAGCCGGTTGCGTGGCCGGTGTATGTCCAAGCACGGGGTGCCCAACCTGTGCCCCGCCGCTGCACGTGGTGGAGATCTTTCCCTGGCCATCAGCGGCTGTGGTCTTGCTGCTGTGTGCCTCTGTGTGCTGGAGACCCAGGCCTCCTGCGCTTTTCTTTCTTGTTTTCACTTCACCTTTCTGCTTGCAGATGAGGCAAACCTGGCTGCTTCTCATGTGGGCTGAGGCCCCAGGGGCCCTGGGGTGGGTGGGGGTGGGGACACTGCTCTTCCCCAGGGAGCTACAGACCAGGCGGAGGGG